GGTTTCATCCCAAGTTCAAAAGGATGGTTCAACCACTGTGATACACCACATTAACAGAAGAAAAAACAAAAACTACATGATCATCTCAATAGATCCAGAGAAAGCATTTGATAAAATTCAGCATCCGTTCATGATAAAAACTCTTAGCAAAGTGGGTACAGAGGGAACATATCTCAACATAATAAAAGCCATTTATGACAAACCCACAGCCAACATAATATACTCAATGGTGAAAAACTAAATTCTGGATCAAGATAAGGATGCCGACTCGCACCACTTCTATTCAACCCAGTATTGGAAGTCCTAGCAACAGCAATCAGACAAGAAAAAGAAATAAAATATATCCAAATTGGAAGGTAAAATTGTCACTATATGCAGATGATATGATACTATATATAGAAAACCCTAAAGACTCCACACAAAAACTACTAGAACTGATAAATGAATTCAGCAAAGTATCAGGATACAAGATTAACACTCAGAAATGGACTGCATTTCTTTACACTAACAATGAAATATCAGTAAGGTAATGTAAAAAAAAAAAAAACAAACCCGTATCTTGTAAAATCACACCAAAGAAAGTACCTAGGAATAAACCTGACCAAGGAGTTGAAAGACTTATACACTGAGAGCTATAAAACATTAATAAAGGAAATTAAAGATGACTCAAAGAAATGGAAAGACATGCCATGCTCTTGGATTAGAAGAATTAGTATTGTTAAAATGGCAATACTATCCAAAGCAATCTACAGATTTAATGTGATCTGTATCAAATTACTCATGACATTTTTCACAGAACTATAACAACCCTAAAATTTATATGGAACCATATAAGACCCATAATTGTGAAAGCAATCCTGAGGGAAGAAAAAAAGCAGGAGGCATAACCTTCCCAGACTTTAGACAATACTACAAATTTCCTATAATCGGAACAGTGTGGTATTGGTACAAAAACAGACATACGGATCAATGGAACAGACTAGAGAGCCCAGAAATAAACCCACACACCTATAGTCAATTAATCTTCAACAAAGGGGGCAAGAATATAAAATGGGAAAAAGTCTCTTCAGCAAGTGGTGCTAGGAAAGTTGGACAGCTGCATGTAAATCAATGAAGTTAGAACACAGCCTCACATCATGCACAAAAATAAACTCAAAATGGCTTAAAGACTTAAAACATAAGACACGACACCATAAAATTCCTAGAAGAGAGCACAGGCAAAACATTCTCTGACATAAATCATACCAATGTTTTCTTAGGTCTGTCTCCCAAGGTAATAGAAACAGAAACAAAAATAAACAAATGGGACCTAATCAAACTTACAAGCTTTTGCACAGCAAAGGAAACCCGAAACAAAACAAAAAGACAAGCTATGGAATGGTAGAAAATATTTGCAAATGATGTGGCTGACAAGGGCTTAATCTCCAAAATATACAAACAGCTCATACAACTCAACAAAAACAAAATAACCCAATCAAAAAATGGGCAGAAAGGGCTTCCCTGGTGGAGCAGTGGTTAAGAATCCGCCTGCCAATGCAGGGGACACGGGTTCGAGCCCTGGTCCGGGAAGATCCCACATGCAGTGGAGCAACTAAGCCCATGTGCTGAAACTACTGAGCCTGCCTGTGCTCTAGAGCCAGCAAGCCACAACTACTGAGCCCGCACGCCACAACTACTGAAGCCTGCGTGCCTAGAGCCTGTGCTCAGCAACAAGAGAAGCCACCGCAGTGAGAAGCCTGCACACCACAATGAAGAGTAGCCCCCGCTCGCCGCAACTAGAGAAAGCCCACGCGCAGCAATGAAGAGTCAACCCAGCCAAAAATTAATTTTTTTTTAAGTGAGCAGAAGACCTAAATAGACATTTTTTCCAAAGAAGACATACATATGGCCAATAGGCACATGAAAAGATGCTCAACATCACTATTAGAGAAATGCAAATCAAAACTACAATGAGGTACCACCTCACACCGATCAGAATGGCCATGATTAAAAAGTCTACAAATAACAAATGCTAAGAGGATGTGGAGAAAAGGAAAACCTCCTACACTGTTGGTGGGAATGTAAATTGGTACAGCCACTATGGAAAACAGTATGGAGGTTCCTCAGACAACTAAAAATAGAATTACCATATGATCCAGCAATCCCACTCCTGGGAATATACCCAGACAAAAATATAATTCAAAAAGATACATGCACCCCTATGTTCATAGCAGCACTGTTCACAACAGCCAAAACATGGAAACAACCTAAATGTCCACTGACAGATGAATGGATAAAGATGTGGTACATATATATAATGGAATACTACTCAGCCATAAAAAAGAATGAATAATACTATTTACAGCAACATGGATGCAACCAGAGATTATCATACTAAGTGAAATAAGTCAAAAAGAGAAAGACAAATACCACATGATATCACTTACATATGGAATCTAAAATATGGCACAAATGAATGTATGTACAAAACAGAAACAGACTCACAGACATAGAGAACAGACTTGTGGTTGCCAAGGGGGAGGAAGGTAGGGGAGGGATGGACTGGGAGTTTGGGGTTAGTAGATGCAAACTATTACATACAGAATGGATTAACAACAAGGTCCTACTGTATAGCACAGGGAACTATATCCAATATCCTGGGATAAACCATATAACTGAGTCACTTTGCTGTGTAGCAGAAATTAACACAACACTGTAAACCAACTATACTTCAATTAAAAAAAAGCAGATCAGGATTGCTTGGGGATGGGAGTGGGGAATAGAGAGGATTACTTTACAAAGGGGGAGGAGGAACTTTGGGGGTTGATGATTTCATGGGTGTATTCATATATCAAAATTCATCAAATAGTACATTTTAAATATGTGCTGCTTATTATATGTTAATTATACTTCAATAAAGTTGTAAAATATATTTTAAAAAATAAAACACTGTTAAAGGAAACTGAAGATGATTCAAAGAGATGGAAAGATATCCCATGCTCTTGGATAGGAAGAATTAATATTGTTAAAATGGCAATACTACCTAAAGCAAACTACAGGTTTAATGCGATCCCTATCAAATTACCCATAACATTTTTCACAGAACCATAACAAATAATCCCAAAATTTATATGGAACCATAAAAGACCCAGAATTGCCAAAGCAATCCTGAGGAAAAAAAAAAAAAAAAACAAGTAGGAGGCATAACCCTCCCAGACTTCAGACAATACTACAAAGCTCCCGTAATCAAAACAGTGTGGTATTGGTACAAAAACATACAGATCAACGGAACAGACTAGAGAGCCCAGAAATAAACCTACACACCTATAGTCAACTCATCTTTGACAAAGGAGGCAAGAATATAAAATGGGAAAAAGTCTCTTCATCAAGTGGTGTTGGGAAAGCTGGACAGCCTCATGTAAATCAAGAAATTAGAACACAACCTCAAGCCATATACAAAAATAAACTCAAAATGGTTTAAAGACTTAAATATAAGACATGACATCATAAGATTCCTAGAAGAGAACACAGGCAATACAGTCTCTGACATAAATCGTAGAATATTTTCTTAGATCAATCACCCAAAGGAAAAGAAATAAAAGCAAAAATAAACAAATGGGACCTAATCAAGCTTAAAAGCTTTTCCACAAAACAAAAAGACAACCTTATGGAATGGGAGAAAATGTTTGCAAATGATGCAACCAACAAGGGGTTAATTTCCAAAATATACAAACAGCTCATACAATATAAAAAAAACAAACAACTCAATCAAAAGACAGGCAGAAGACCTAAATAGACATTTCTCCAAAGAAGACATAAAGACAGCCAACAGGCACATGAAAGGATGCTCAACATTGCTAATTATTAGAAAAATGCAAATAAAAACCACAATGAGGTATCACCTTACACAAGTCAGGATAGCTATCATCAAAAAGTCTGCAAATAGGACTTCCCTGGCAGTTCAGTGGTTGGGACTCTGAACTTCCACTGCAGGGGACGCAGGTTCAGTCCCTGGTCGGGGAGCTAGGATCCTGCATGCCACATGGTGTGGCCAAAATAAATGAATAAATTAAAAAAAAATTTTTAATGTCTGTAAATAATAAATGTTGGACAGGATGTGGAAAAAAGGGAACCCTCCTTCGCTGTTGGTGGGAATGTAAATTGGTGCAGTCACTATGGAGAACAAACAGTATGAAGGTTCCTTAAAAAACTAAAAGTAGAAAAAAAATTAAAAATAGAGCTACCATATGATCCAGCAATCCCACTTCTGGGCATACATGCAAAAAACACAAAACCCTAACTCCTAATTCGAAAAGATACATGCACCCCAATGTTCACTGCAGCATTATGAACAATCGTCAAGACATGGAAACAACTTAAATGTCCATCAACAGATGAATGGATAAAGAAGATGTGGTATATATATACAATGGAATATTACTCAGTTATAAAAAAGAATGAAATATTGCCCATTTGCAGCGACATGGATGGACCTAGAGAATATCACAATAAGTGAAGTCAGACAGAGAAAGCAAATATTATATGATATCACTTATATATGGAATATAGAAAATAATACAAATGAATCTGTTTACAAATCAGAAACAGAGTCACAGACATAAAAAACAAGCTTATGGTTACCAAAACGGAAAGGGAGTCGGGGGGAAGGATAAATTAGGAGTTTGGGATTAACAGACACACACTATTCTATACAAAATAGATAAGCAACAAAGATTTACTGTATGACACAGGGAACAATATTCAATATCTTGTAATAACCTATAATGAAAAATAATCTGAATAAAAAATAATACATATATATGTAACTGAATCACTTTGCTGTATACCCAAAACTAACACAAAATTGTAAACCAACTATACTTCAATTTTAAAATAATAGTAATAATAACCGTTCCTCATTATTAAGTACCGACAATGTGCCAAGTTCTGTGCTGAGAATTTTCCACCCATCATCTCGTTTAAGCCTCTGTAACAACCCAAGAGGTAGCCATTCTTCTTACCTGCGTCTCAGAGGAGGAAGCAGCTTTGAAGAGGGCATATAATTTCTGTGGTGGAGCCAGGAGCCAATTCCCTCCTCACTGACTGAAGAAACCAGTTTAACCACTCTTATCGGTCAGCATGCTTTCAGCTGCAAGTAAAGAGTGCCTCTTAAAAGTGGCTTAGGGGCTTCCCTGGTGGCGCAGTGGCTGAGTGTCCGCCTGCCGATGGAGGGGACACGGGTTTGTGCCCCGGTCCGGGAAGCTCCCACATGCCGCGGAGCGGCTGGGGCCATGGGCCATGGCCGCTGAGCCTGCGCGTCCGGAGCCTGTGCTCCGCAACGGGAGAGTCCACAACAGTGAGAGGCCCGCGTACCGCAAAAAAAAAAAAAAGTGTCTTAGGGCTTCCCTGGTGGCACAGTGGTTGAGTGTCCGCCTGCCGATGGAGGTGACACGGGTTTGTGCCCCGGTCCGGGAAGATCCCACATGCCACGGAGCGGCTGGGCCCGTGGGCCATGGCCGCTGAGTCTGCGCGTCCGGAGCCTGTGCTCCGCAATGGGAGTGGCCACGCCAGTGAGGGGCCCGTGTAACGCAAAAAAAAAAAAAAAAAAAAAGTGGCTTAAACAAGGAGAACACATATTATCTTCCACAACCAGAGAGAGGTCCAAGGTGCAGGGCTAGTCGATTCAGCAGCTCAGTGATTGAGCAGCTCAGTGATGCTGTCGGGAGCCCAGATTCTTGGCACCTCTTTATTCCATCCTTGCCCAGGTTCTTTCCATTGCTCCCCTCCACCATTCTCAGGTGTGACTCCTCAGGTTTACAAGAGCCTGCTGTGGCTCTAGGCATCATGTCCTCACACAATCACATCGAAAAACAGGAAAGAAATTTCCCTTTGAGTGTCTCTTTTAAGCAGAAAAACCTTCCCAGAAGTCCTCAGTAGGCTTCTCTGCAGGTTCTGCTGGCAGAACTGCGGAAGAGGCTCATGCCCTTGCTACAAAAACAGATGGGAAATTGAGTAATTGGCATTTTCAGCCTCAATAGTTGGAGGCAGGTGCCCCATTGGCAAAGAAGAGAAATGGGGCAGACAGGGAATGGCCACTGGGTAAATGAATCAGAGTCTTGGCCACAGCCACTGTCTCTCCCCTCAGAGAATCACAAGCACATTGCCAAAAGTCCTATGAAGTTCTTTGTTTAATTTAATGTTGCAAATTTTGACATAACTGTTTAAGAAACGTTACACTTACTTTATTTCATCCATTCTAAGATATATACTTTTTTCACATTTTGACATCTCTGATGATGAGATGTGGCTTAAAGGGAGCTCCTTTTCTGACCTTTCATTCTATGATTCTTCTAAGTATCACCCCCACCACAGCCCCTTGAAACAGGTGGCTCAAATTTGCAAAAGTAGACTCAAGAATGTTCCGCTGCTCCCTGGCTACACACAGGCCCAGCAAATATTTACTTATTGAGCATCTGCTGTGAAGCAGGAGCACTGAGGATACAACTGTGTGTGCAAGGCAGGTGTGAGTTCTCATGTAGCTCTGGTCTAAAAGAGGGAACAGATTGTAAATAAGTAAACAGAAAAAGAGATGGCTCACAAAGTTAACTGCCACAGAGACACAAATAGGGCACCAAAAAAGAGGAGCAGAAAGAAACTCACTTCATGCCCTTACTGAAGGATGACAACAAAGTACCAAGGGAAAAGTGGGGATGGGAGCATTCTGGGCACAGAGAACAGTGTATGCAAAGGCACTGAGATGAGTAAAAGCTTGATGTACCTGAGGAACTAAAATACATTGCGGCAAAGCGAAGGAAGGGGAGAGTGACATCACAAGAGGTGGGAAGGCAGGCAGAGACCAGAACATGCAGAGGGAATGGGAGGACACCTCTCATTCATGCAGGCTTCGTGGAGACTGTCTGGCTTGCACTATGGTTGTTAACCTACCAGAAGCAGGGGAGAATTGCTCTAAGTCTAGCCACTCAAAGTGTGGTCCCCAACCAGCAGCACTGGAGTCACCAGGGAGCTTGTGAGGAATGTAGAATCTCAGGCCCCCTCTCAACCTACTCAGTCCGAACCCATTTTCCCTTTTTTTTTTTTTTTTTTTTTTGCGGTACGCGGGCCTCTCACTGCTGTGGTCTCTCCCGTTGCGGAGCACAGGCTCCGGACGCGCAGGCTCAGCGGCCATGGCTCACGGGCCCAGCAGCTCCGCGGCATGTGGGATCTTCCCGGACCGGGGCACGAACCCGTGTCCCCTGCGTCGGCAGGCAGACTCTCGACCACTGCGCCACCAGGGAAGCCCCGAACCCATATTTTAATAAGACTCCCAGGTGATTCACACACAGTGAAGTTTGAGAATTGCTGCTATAAACCATCTTTCTTTTTTTGGACGGACATAACAACATTTTGTGTCTGACTCTCTGAAGTTCTAGAAGGGATCCCTTTACCTGTGCACATGACCTCTCTGGACACTGGAGGGCAACCTTATGTTAATAAAGCAGAACACAACCTGGGGGGCCACAGAAATCACAGAAGGTTAGAGCTTAAAGCCAACACAATGGTTGCATTTTGCAGCCACAGAACAGGCCCACTGAGCATTTGAGCAGATCAGGACAAGCAGCCAGTTCTCCTGCATCCAGAGCTGCTCGTCCTCACAAGGCACCTGGTGTGGAAACATGGGATCTGGCTGTGGACGGTGTCAGCAGCTGCAGCTGGCCACTGAACAGAGCCAAATGTAGAGCAGAAGGGCTTGGAATTTAAGGGTAACAAAGCATGGCTAAAATTCAGAGATTATGAATTGAGTTTGCAGAGTTATGCCAATTCTGTTAATGCCCCATGTGTAATTAAATTTTAAATACTTTATTCCACATCAGACTTCAAGTTGCCAAAACTCTTGATCTCACAGTGATAAATACCTGCTTTTGCATACAGAGCTGTGGGCCACTGCCAAGCTATTCAGAAGCCCTAGAGCAAGACTCTAAATAAATAAAACCCAGAACCCATGACAACAAGGGCTGGCGTCTCACTATCACCCAAGCGTCCACTTGCCTCTTCACCTGGCCTCCAATGTGATTGGCACAGGTGCACGGGCAGAGACACCAAAGGCCTGCAGTTGCCCCCATGGCTAGTCCTCAGGGCAAATAAGGGCCAAGTGTACAGATAGATCAGGTCAAAAAAGTAAGGTGGACATCTATGCCCATGACCAAAAGGGTTTCCTCCTCGGGGGTAAACTATCCTAGTGTTTCCCAAATTTCAGTCACTCAAACACCACCTCCACAAGTTTCATCAGATTATTTATTTACATAATGCTATTTATGTGATACTTTTCTTTCAATTGACTCGTTCCTAACTCTTCTGTTTATCAATATCAAATAAGGACCGATTTTATGCTGTTAATGCAAATTCAAATAAATTCATAACTCTTCAAATATGTCGGCCTGAGTCACATCTACACTTACCTTACATATTCAGCACTAGTCTGAATTCCACACTTTGGGAAATATTGTTCCCTCTGACAGAAGTGGGAGGGAAGTAAGGATGAGTATTCCCTCACTTTCTTCATGAGGACTGGTCTTCGGGAAGCTAAAGGAAAACAAACTGAAGATGCTTCAGGGAAAAGAAAACACAAGTACTTTGACAATCAGGCAGGACCTGGTCAGCCCCAGCCAACCCAGGGAGCCAAAACTCTCATATTCCACCAGGGACTTCCTGTTTGCTAAGGTTTTCATTGAATACCATCCCTCCCGCTGCTGCTCTGGGCTGTAAACACTTTGCCTATGTGGGCACTACCCTGAGCTGTGGCAGAAACATGACAGCACCATGGCTAGACTCAGCCTCTCTGAGTACAAATCTCAGCCTCACCATTTACTAGGGAGGGTTATGGGCTAAACTGTGTACCCCCCAAATTCATATGTTGAGCCCTAACCCCCATTTCCTCAGAATGTGGCTGTATTTGAGACAGGGCCTTTAAAGAGGTGATAAGTTAAAATGAGGCTGTGAGGATGAGCCCTATTCCAATTTGACTGATATCCTTATAAGAAGAGGAGAGTAGGACACAGGGAGAGACGCCAGGGATGTAGGTGCACAGAGGAAAGACCAGGTGATGAGGCAGCAGGAAGGCTACCATCTGCAAGCCAAAGACAGAAGCCACAGAGGAAACCAACTCTGCTAACACCTGGCTTGTGGACTTCCAGTCTCTAGAACCAGGAGAAAATAAATTTCCATTGTTTAAGCCACCCAGTCTGTGGTACTAATATGTTTTGGGGGGGTTTTTTTGTTTGTTTTATTTTTGGCTGCATTGGGTCTTCGTTGCTGTGTGCAGGCTTTCTCTAGTTGCGGCGAGTGGGGGCTACCCTTCATTGTGGTGCACAGGCTTCTCATTGCAGTGGCTTCTCTTGTTGCAGAGCACGGGCTCTAGGCGCGCGGGCTTCAGTAGTTGTGGCTTGCGAGCTCTAGAGCGCAGGCTCAGCAGTTGTGGCACACAGGCTCTAGAGCGCAGGCTCAGTAGTTGTGGTGCACGGGCTTAGATGCTCCGTGGCATGTGGGATCTTCCCGGACCAGGAATCGAACCCATGCCCCCTGCATTGGCAGGCAGATTCTTAACCACTGCACCACCAGGGAAGTCCAGTCTGTGGTATTTTGTTACAACAACCCTAGCAAACTAATACACCACATGAAATTAGACTTGCAAAACAGGAATAACAGCACTTATTTCATTAGCTGGTAAGGACTGAATGATGTGCTTCAGGCACAGCACCTGGCTGCAGGGGAGGTGTGTTTGCTCATCATGTCCCCCATTCTTAGATCAGGTGCTTCACCCAATCAGTGCCCCCTCTGGGCCGGCGCTGGAACTACAGGATGAAAGGCAAGCCTTTCTCACCTTAATTTCCACCAGTAAAGGTGTGCAGGCCTGGAGCCTTGTGGCCTTCTTTGCTACAGATTGAGACACCACCTGAAGACTAAACAGAGGAGGGTGGAGTCAGGAGATGGAAAGAAAGTAACCACTCTGTTTGTGTTCCTGGATCTAAGCTTACCTTAAATCCAACTTCACCCTTCAAATCCCCGGTTACCTTCTGAGCTAATAAATTGCCTTTTTGGTTTTAGCTGGTTTGAGTTGTGATTATGTCACTTGCCACTAACACAGCTGTGACAAACACAGTGGCCCCCAGGGTGAATTAATATTGTCAGCTTTGCTCTCTGTGTGAGGGAGATCACGCGATCCCAGTTTTAGTAGTGCAGGCATCTGCCCCCGCCAGAGCGACCGACGGGCCATGGGACTCACTAGGGAAGCCTAGCGAGCACATGTGAAGAGGTCAAAATGTGCCTCGGTCAGTCATGGAAAGTGCTTGTAGGGCCTGCACCAAAAGCCTTGTTTGCTCCCAAAGCTCTCTTGTAGATAAAGAATTCATTGTCATACAAGAGAAATGGGACTGCCTAGCACACAGGGTCTTGCCCACCTGGATCAGGTGTTATTTTGTCCTTCTGACAAAATAACAGCACTATTTAATTTTTTAAAATATACCTACAAAATGCCACCCCTTCTCAGACTCTGTGGGTAACAGGAGCTAGAAGCTCCATAGTCCTCGTATCTAAGGGTATCAGATGTTCCTACAGGGAAGGAGGAAGCTGGCAGAATCTATCACATTTCCAATGGTCTGGTTTACACAAAACTCCCTGCAGGGGGCAGCCTGGATGTGTGGCTGAGATTTCAGTGTTCCTTAGTATTTCCATAAGCATCTGACAATGTCTCCAGAGGAAACCCACTTGATTACAATAACTTGCATTTTTACACTAAGCACATTACAGATCTCACTTAATCCTCTGGGTACGACTTTCATCCTCATTTTAGAGATGAGGAAATTGAGCCCTTGATAAGTAATTCATTCACGGTTGAGCCTTTGATAAGTAATTCATTCAAGGTTTCACAGCTGTATGTGGCAGAACCTGACATCAAGTCTAGCGCCCTGGGCACCACTCCCGGTTCTGTCTCTAAGATCTTGTGTGATATCAGGCAACCTTTCTTCCCCTCTCTTGGCCTCAGTTTCCTCATCGGACAAACGAAGCAATCAGACTGGCTTATCTCTCAGGCTCCTCTCAGCTCTAAAGTTTTTCTAGTTCCAGGTTTAAGAAATTCGCTTTGGACTCTGCACCCTGGCGTCAGCCTGCAGCCTAGAAATGAACAGGGAGAATGCAGCACAGCCTTTCAAAAGAGAGTTTGTCCCTTGGGGGCTTCCCTGGTGGCACAGTGGTTGGGAGTCTGCCTGCCGATGCAGGGGACACGGGTTCGTGCCCCAGTCCGGGAAGATCCCACATGCCATGGAGCGGCTGGGCCCGTGAGCCATGGCCGCTGGGCCTGCGCATCTGGAGCCTGTGCTCCGCAACGGGAGAGCCCACAACAGTGAGAGGCCCGTGTATCGTAAAAAAAAAAAACAAAAGAGAGTTAGTCCCTGCTGCAGTGTTAAGGGTTGGGTATCACCTTGGCCCCCAGGTAGAGGCACCCAGCTGGACAGACTCTCTAGAAGTCTTCATGGACCCACAGTTTTTCTCAGGGTTCCAAAGGCATAGGCTGTATGCCAGCTTAAGCCCACAGGGGTATTTTAGTTGGCCCTTGCAATGTTTAAAACAGTTGAACTCAGTTACCAACATTTTAAAATCAAAAGCTGAAATCTGGACTCCCGGGTTCTTCTGAAAAGTCTTAAGATCTGGCCACTCCAGGCCCATGTTCCCCCGGCCACACTTCCCTGAGTTGCTGGCTCCTGCCCTTTCAGCTGGAACAAGAGTGCTCTGCTTTGCCAGGTGGTCAGCTCACACAAAGACCTCCCCTGACTGGTCCTGGGGGCACTTCGGCCTGTGAGCCTCACTTAAGGAGCCAAGAGTGCTCTTTTCTTGAGGAAGGACCTGAGGGGAAGGGATGTGCAGCATTGGGGCACAAGAATAAAAGCTCCTTTTCCTCCAGACACAACAGTGCTCTGGGCTCTGTGACAGTTGAAGGTGAACCTGTGGCCTGGGTGTAGGTAGGAGCCAGGTGCCTTGGAACCGAAACCTGAAGGTACAACAAAAGGAGAGGTTTTCATCCAGCCATGAAACTCTCCTTCTCCCAGCAGCCGCCACTCAGATCTCTATCTGCTTTCCGGGGCCCAGGGTGGACCAGCAGGCATGTGTCATTTCCCTGGATAGGGGCTATAATGGGGACATTGTGCTGAGTGGAAAAAGAGAGCTTTTCATCCAGCGACCAGCATTGGGCAGACACTCGAGCAAGGGGCTCTGGGGCTCACCCTGCACAAAGGAGTTTGGGAGCAGGGCCCCGAGCCAAGAAGAAGCCCCATGGGTTGGGCTGCATGTCCGCAGCAGCAGGCAGTGGGGCTGGGAAACACAGAGGCATTGCTCCCAGAACACATCATTGCAATCTCATTTTCCTCTGCAAATAGATAAGCAAATAAACAATCCCAGAGGATAAAGGAGACCACCCCAAAAATACCTGCATTAATAGAAACCTCGTTGAGTCCTTGAGCATTTATTCACTGACTCACCCCACAATACTTGCTACCACTTACTAAGTTCCAGGCACTGTGCTAGGCCCTAGGGACCTCGCAACAAGTAAGACACAGCACCCACCCTCATAGTACTTGCAATCTGGGGGGCCATGAAGAGGTAAGGAGAGACCTAAGTAGGAAATTATACATTGGTGACCCAGTGGAAGAACTGAGAGTGACACAGTAACAGAGTCAGTTCAAGAACCCAGATCTGAGTCCCCAGTCGATGGTTTTTCTTACTCTTCCCAGGGTCTCCTGAGATCACTGCTTGTCTGCTCTGAGGAATGGCAGGTTGGAGCTTAGTGAGGAAGGCACCCCAAATACTATAGTAAGGAATTTGAACTCTACATTGAGGGCAAAGGAGAGCCATCAAGTATTTTTAAGGGGGATCTGATTGGAACCATGGAACGGTCACTGTAGCAGCCACGATGGAAGCAGACCTGGAGGCAAAGTGACAGGTTAGAAGGCTAAAGTATGCTTCTCTCACTAGGACAAAGAACATTTAGCCTCCAAATTTTTCTTTCCCAGGGCTTCCCAGTTGCACCTGATAAGCTAAGAATGAGACTGGGGAGTATCATTTGTTTTCACAAGACTAGGAGCATGTGGAAGCTGAAAGCTTTTTTCCTGGAATTGTTCACTGGGACCAAATTTGATATCTTTTTACAGAGCTGGAGCTCTCCGCACAGACTTCTTTAGACAAGTACCAGGCAAACCTAGAAAACTTAGTACAACAATAAGAAAAGGGAAGATATGAGGCAGATCCTAAAAATCCTTTCCAGAGAATTGCATTCATACAGGGAAGTGGAAAAGGGAGGAGAAACCAGGCATTGGCATCCACAACTTCCATCCCCATTCTCATTCCAGCACTTCCCACCTGATACCCTACAATCTAGCCAGACCAAACTTCTTTACAGACACATCCTGCAGTTTTCTATCTCTATGTCTTTGCTCTCACTGTTTTCACTGCCTGTAACGTTATCTTCTCATTGCAGGCTCACCCAAGTGTCTGTCATCCATTACTGTCTCCATGATCAGTAAGATATTCTTGCT